ATATGTATGTATATATGAGTAGATAATTTCTCTTAGAAAATAACTTTTATCACATTTTCAAGGATAACTAAGCAGACTGGACCATTTCATAATGATTTAACACAAGAAATAATATCACTGGGAAACCACAAATTTAAGAAGTAATAATTTCATTAAAATACATTTCTCTGCCTTGCATTCTGAAGTCAGTTTTCTTATGGACAGTGTACTATCTTAATAGAAGAGCGCCCTCTGCTGCTGTTTTTATAAGAGATCTCACCACAAGTGAGGGGATCGAAGTGTTACCAATCACAGCAAACAGAATTTAATTATAAGAATGATTATAATAACAATGATACTTTTCTCTTGTCCGAGGCATTTCTGTAGATGGGATATTATGGTTTTATAAAAATCATGTGGTTCTTTATCCTCATTAGAAACTTTCCAAGACTCACAGAAGAATTGATATTTTTCACTTGAGAAGAATATTCTTTCACAGTAAGCATATTTTTTTAAAATAAAAGCTGTCTGATAGAAACATTGAATTTTGGTCCTATTTTGACCTTTAAAATTACTACGTATAGGGGGTATGGTGCCCCCAGCAGGTCAATCTGTGAGGTGAGTGCATCAGCAGCCTGATAGCAACGTCAGACTTTCAGATACCCCAAAATTGCTGCTGTGCCTTTGGCCAGACCCCAAAAAACTTGGGGCAAAGTTTACCAAGAAAGTAAATGGCAAAAAGTTAGGTATGTGGGAGACACACCCACAAATCATCTTCGGCTCAGCTATAAAATTGGAGGCATGGCCTCTCTGGTTCCTGATCGAACTGCTTAATGGCCATGATCCCAGAGTCTCAGAAACGAATCTCGGAACCCAAAGGCTTTTGGCAGAAATGCGTCATGTTCCTGCAGTAGGTTACTGGCGCTGGACCACTCCAGGTGGGAATAGGTTTCATGCCTTGGCCTGTTCCCCCCAGCGGCCTGGTGACTACCATCCTCCAGAGGCTACTGGACAGTCAAGTTTGGGCCTGCAGTGACGAGACACATGGGGCCTCACCACATGGGCGTGGAGCTGACTCTTCTCCCCATCGCAACAAGATCCCGAGTTGCTGCCTACAAATGGCCTCTCTGGCTCCCGATCAAGCTGATTAATAGCCATGATACCGGAGACTCAGAAATAAATCTTGAAACCCAGCGGCTTTTGGCAGAAATGCATCTGGGCTGCATACAAGGTGGCCACCGGCTCAGAGTTTATTGGAAAGCCAAATATGAGCCGGCGGTGACGGGGCAACTGCAGTCTCATAGGAAGGAGGGCGGTACTGGCTCGTCCTTCACGCCTACCGAGGTCATGAGTTGCCTCCCACAAGTGGCTCTCTGGCACAGCCATGGCTCCAGAGGCAAAAGGAATTAATCCAGAGCCCGGAAGCTTGTGGCAGAAAAGTGAATGGACCATGTGTTAAACTACGGTGCCATGCCTCCCGGGAGGGAAAGGGTGTTGCTCCCTTCCGCCTTTTTCCCCCCTGGCAGTAAGGTGGCCGCCGCCTCAGAGCTTATAGGAAAGCCAGGTATGAGCCGATGGTGATGGGGCAACCACAGTCTCATGAGAAGGGGGGCCATACTGGCATGTCCTTCATGCCCTACCGAGGTCATGAGTTGACCCCCACAAGAGGCTTTCCAGCACGGCCATAACACCAGACACACAGAAACCAATCTTGTAATTATCTGGCTCTTTGCAAAAATCCAAAATCGTGGCCACGTGACATTATATGATCCTTATAGCCAGCTATAGAAAACAAAATATTTCACAATGCCTTTTCAGCAAGTCTGATTTTTTGGGGGGAAATTCTAAACAATAATGGTGCATCTTTTGTCGAAATAATGAATGTAATCAATGTAGAGAAGAGTTAAGTAGAAATCATCTGCCTCACAGGCACTTGGATGGGTGGGGGGGTATACTGAGGTTCTTGGTGGTGAAAAATGAGTACTGGTGAAGGGAAAGGTGTTTGATCATTGTATGACCGAGACTTAAACCTGAAAGCTTAGTAACTTTTCCCACAGTGATTCAATAAATAAATATAAAAAGAAAAAAATAAATTAAAAAAAATTAAGGTGGAGTTCATGCCCAATTCAATCTGCTAATCAGTTGCTGAATAAATAGCAGTACTCCTACAAAAAAAACTACGTATATAAAATGAGGCAATTCAAATATTTATTAATGTCCATTTGACTTTCTGAGCCTTTGAAAGTATATTCATAGGGCTGGATCAATAGCACAGTGGGTAGTGCATTTGCCTTACATGCAGCCAACTCAGGTTCGATTCCCAGCATCCCATATGGTCCCCTGAGAACCACCAGGGGTAATTACTGGGTGCAGAGCCAAGAGTAACCCCTGTGCATCGCCAGGTGTGACCCAAAAACAAATAAAAAAGAAAATATATTCATAATTTGAAGTAATGGACTTAGAGGTAATTTTCAATTATTTTGTAGTGCTAGACACCAAAATTTAAAGTACTATTTTTTGAGGTTTCAATCTATAAAATGGAAACTGGAATAGGATTGTTTTAGCTTACTGGTGTCAAATCACAGATCTGAAGATCAGAATGAGTCCAATACTTGTCTTGGTTAAAAAAAAAAAGCCTGTTAGTATATAGTATACTCATTAGTAGTATAATAATATAGTATAGTATTAGTATCCTATTCTCATTCATTTGTAGCTCAAGTATAAAAGTCAATGAAATAATGTCTCATATATTGAGCATCAGATACTGGAGAGTGCTGGCTGAAAAATTACGGATATGCTGACATACACTTTGTTTATTGAATTGAAAGTTTCTGAAATTCAGTGTGAGAAAATGAGACAAAGCCCACTGAACAGCCTGTACTGAGTTGGGTTAGTTGTTGCACCCATCCAGGTGCTCAGAAGTTATTCCTGCTTCTGCTTTCAAGAATCACTCCTGGAGGGCTTGGGAACCTTACAGAATACTGGTGATTGAACCCAGGTTGGCTGTATACAAGGCAAGCGCCCTGCTCTCTGAAATATCGCTTTGACTCCAGTAGAAAGCACCTCTTAGGAACAGATTGTGGTTGAAAACATCTACTGGTGGGGATTCCTTCCTAAATCTGTGCTGAAATAGCCTCTTCTTTTTTCTAGTTCTTGCCATTTTTATTTCCATCATCAGCTGTTTTCTTTTAAAAAATTGTGAAAAGGGAATTACTTTAAGTTTTACCTCTTTTAATTGTAATTCACAACACTGTTATTGTTAGTTTCATGCACGCATTGTTGCAACACAATATCCACCATCAGCTTGCCTAGAGAGCCTGCCCCCCTCTACTAATGTTCCAAGAGGCACTCCAATCCCCCTCCGCAGAGAAAGGGCTTCTATAGACTTCTATCACTGGTAGTCTACAGATTTAGTTCTGTAGGCTGTTTCTACCTGATACCAAATGTAGGGAGAAGGACAAAATAAAAAAAAAGAAAACAAATTCAGTTCAATATCTTTGATGGACATATGTGATAATTATATATATATATATATATATATATATATATATATATATAAAGATTTTGTGCACTACCCAAAACCTTAGCAAACCAAATTCAAGAATATGTTAAAACATCACCAACTTAGATTCATTTCAGAAAGACAAGGATGGTTCAATATATATAAATCAATAACAGAAAAATTGGGTTTATCAAAGTATACTCTTGGCATCAGTGACATTGTAGCACTGTAGCACTATAGCACTGTCCTCCAACTGTTCATCGATTTGCTCAAGCTGGCACCAGTAATGTCTCCATTTTGAGACTTGTTACTGTTTTTGGCATATTGAATACACCATGGGGAGCTTGCCAGGCTTTGCCATGTGGGTGGTGGTTGGGGAATGGAGGTCGGCTGCCGGGGCTGGGTTTCTTGGGGTGGGGAGGGCTCTCACCTGTCCCACAGCCTGGCACAGAGACCAGTGGCATGGTTCTGGGAGCTTCCTTTTATACTCTCGTCTGGGAGGAGTATCTGTGAGTTCTGGAGGGTGGCCAATGAGGAGATTAGCCGGTGCCAGCAGGCTGTGGCTTATGAGTTTGATCCCTGAGTCACCAGAGACTGGGGGAAGCAGGCAGAGGATCTGTGTTCTGGGTCCTTTTGAGTCCAGAGTCCAAGGTCACAAAGTTCCACATTACCTGGGTTCTGTGGGACTTCATTTTTGCGTGAAGCTTGGTTTGAGCATCTGGAAAGCAGTCTGGAGCATGGTGGTGGTTGGGCAGTGGAGGTCAGCTGCTGGGGCTGGGTCCCTTGGGGTGGGGAGGGCTCTCACCCACCCTACAGTCTGGCATGGAGTCTGCAAATTATAATTTTTACAGTAAGCAAATATGTGGCAATCAACATATTTATAAATACATATTTTAAAAAGTAGTCAAAAATTACAATTAAAATAGAAATGCATTACTTGAATCCTGGTGACAAAAGTTATATACCAAAGTCCATAGAATGACAAAAAAATGACAGTTATCTGTAAGTATAAGTTCATAATTTAGAATGATTGGATCAAAAAAGAATAAAAAGCAAAAATCAATTATGTAATGTCAATTAAAAAATAAGGAAAGAAAAGTACATTTATTCCTTAAAAGAGTTATTACTTTCAAAGAATAATTATATAAGCATATATAAATTGAACTATTTGTAGTGGCTAAAGAAAATCACACCCCAAAAACAGTTTTTGAAAAGGTCAATTAAATTGGAAAATTCCTAGTAAGATTTGTTAATAATTCAATAATCATAGAAGACATAATGAAGAAACATCTGTAGATTATACCTAAATGAAAATCACATAAGAATTCATTTGTGAACAACTTTCTAACATTCAAATTCTATCCATTTACAGGTCATTCAGATAAAACAGACTAACACACTGAAAAAGCAGAACGCACCAAAGTCATATGATACAAAAAATAGCACATTTAAATATTAAAGAAACTAAACCAAAAATTTTAAATCTTTCTAGAAATAAAACACAATGACAAGATGCTTTGCGGGTGGATTTATTTAGCATAAGGTATGACTTCACATGAAGTGTTTCCGAGAATAAGGAATCTGAGGGCACAGCACATCACCACTCAGGAGACCAGCTTGACTTGGACACCAAAACCTAGGAAAGCACAGAGAGAAAAATCTTGCTAACGTGGATCACCGAGACACATGAACATTTTCAATTGTGTGTATGCTAGACTGTGCATGTCGCTAGGTAGTGAAAGCAGGACCTTACAAAAGCAATGTAAGTGCTCTATCATCAAGTTACATCTACTGCCCTAAAGCACATTTCCAAACAAACTGTTGTGTAAATCAATTTCAATTTGTAAAGGATAGACTGTCACTAAGTGTATTCCAAAACAACATTGATGTACATTTTAAAAAGTGAAATAATATCAAATATGGTCAAAAGTTATTTGACCATATTTGATATTATTAAATCTGATATCATTTATATACATACATATTATATACACATACACACACACACACACACACAAAGGTGCCCAGAAAAATAACTCAAATGTAGCTCACATGCTTAGCATGTGTGAAGCCTCCAAGTCTATGCACAATATTGAATATTCTCCCCCTCAGCATCAGAGGAAAACCCTTGGCTGCCCCTGAACACTTCTGGCCACAGCACTAAGCCTCAGCACTGAAACACCAAACCATCAATCCCATAAGGCTAGCCTGAATATTGTCATGAGTGCCGTGAGTGTCGTGAGTGTCATGGGTATACACATATCTAGAGTAGATTAAGACATAAAATGCAGTATTCTGACACTTAACTGACAAAAATTAATTAACTTGTTCAACTGTCTCCATATTTCTCATGCAATCACTGACATCTCATGGAACATGGCATCTCGTGTGCCATGGGGCATTTTTCCCCCTCTGTGAAATAAATGGCTCAGACACAAAGATAGTAAATGACTGGTTAACTATCAAAGCCGTTGCAGGATGGAGTTGTGAATGCAATTTAGCTGGCCCCAAAGGGAGAGCCCAAATTCTGAAGCAATTCAATACATTGTCTTTTGTGTTGTCTGTGGCTGCTCTGGCAGTTTCTGGAAATTATACAGTTGCAGCTTTATCAGCAGTCCTTTAAGTAATGCACCTGAAAGTAAAGTGATTGAAAGTATATACTGCTTTTTCCCCCCCAACAAAGATCGACTTCTAACTCAGGAAGGGATTTGACTTTCTTTCAACAAGTCCACCAAGCCAAATTCCTCCAAAGAGTTGCTGCTGCCTTTAAAATTCTCTGCTCAGGAGAGTCTGACCTGCCAAAATGAACGTATCTCCAAACACTACTTCCAGGAAGGGTGACAAATATAAATGGAATATAACTTTGGAAGTTCAACTATGGGAGATTATGAAGGGATTTCTAGGGTGCTAAAAATATCTTCTACTAGTTTGGGTTGTGTCTCTATGTAAAAATTCATCTACCTCTTCAATGGAGATGTTTGTCTGTATACTTTAGTAGCTCATTAAGATGAAAATAAAATGCTGATCAAAAAAGAAAACTATAAAATTTCTCCTTTTAATATCTAGTAAATGATCGCATGGCAGAGCCTGGCAAGCTCCCCATGGCATATTCTATATGCCAAAAACAGTAACAAATCTCATAATGGAGACGTTACTGGTGCTTGCTCGAGCAAACATGAACAACAAGAGGACAGTGCTACAGTGCAGTGCTAATATCTGTCACTCATAATAACTGAAAAGCTATGAATTAGATTGTGGGAATGTCATTAGGGAAGCCCTTTACCAACGAGAAAGGAAGACTCAACAGAGCATAGGTATGTATAGCAAAGGATAAACAGATTCACTTAATCTTTATACCTTCTGAAACTAATATTGATCACTTGATCACTTGATACCCCATTACTCATGGATTTACTTGAGCGGGTGCCAGTAACGTCTCCATTCATTCATTCAAGTGATATGTGTTTTAGGACTCATGCAAAGGAAGCAAGGTCTAATTAATAGAAACTAATATTACTCAAATAAAATTATTAACCTAATTATTAATATTACAAAATTCTGTCATTTATACGATGTTTAAAACAGATAATAAATATCAGGCATTATTAAGGTCTGACCGATTAAAATACATTATTGTTAAGTCATTATGAGACATACTTTAAGATTATACACTGCTATATGTAATTATAGCTCAATAAAACTAGAAAAATGCATTATTAGTGTTACCACTGCTACTCCTGCTAACTACTATTTTGATTTTGTTATTGTCATGAATTGTCATTATTACTTATTGGATCTGAAGCAGAAATTCAGACCACCATTGGTCTCATCACATTTACTTCTCATCATCCATACATTCTTCTCATTTTCTCTTATTCATCACAAAATACTGGGTAGACATTTTTCTTTCAAAGAAGACTCTTAGACAGAGGTCTGAGGAAAAAGATAAGGAGGGCCAGAACATCTTACCTCTTCAGAGAAGGAACTCACATACTGCCAAAGCAGGTCGAGAGCAAGATATGTCATTCCACTTGCCTTTTTCCGTGATTACCACACAATTTTCCCCAGAGACTGCATTATTGGGTTCTCCATCATGCCAATTCTGGTAGGTAAGTCTATTTCCTTTTAGATCCACAAATTGACCTTCGTTCTCCTCATCTGTGATGCCCAGGATGGCTTCTCTTCTGGCTAGATTATTGATAGCTTGGTTCTCTTCAGCATTTGAGGGGATTGCCACAGAGGCCTGGAAACGTTTGCACAGATCCTTGACTTTGTCCAAACTCATCGTTTCACCGTTGGTCAAGAAGAACTTCTTCCCAACCCTTTTCCCCAAAGCAAAGTTTAGCCCTAAAATGGGGTGGGTGGGAGGAAGAAAACATGCATGACACTAGCTTGTGTTTAAACCAAGTACCAGTAAGTTTTCTGATTAAGGCTCCTGAAGAACAATTGTCACACAAAATCCAGCAGCCCAAGTCAAATTTGAATTTCAGGTAAAACATGTAATTATTTTAAATATAAATATCTTCCATGTAATTTTAAATACATACTTGTTCTGGAAAAAAATGCTTTCTACGAAACTTGATACTGGGTGGGGGTTTAGAGAGATCAGGTAGGGAAGAAACTCTGAGCTAGTGGTGGAAGGGAAGTGTGCCTGCCATGGAGGCAGGTTGGGGCATGGGAGGGAAACTTGGGACATTGGTGGAAGATCATGGACACTGGAAAGTTGTACACCTGAAACTCAATCATAATATCTTTGTAATTCACAGTTCATTTTAAACGATTTTTTAAAGATTTAATTTACCAGAAACTCACAGTTCAATAGGTGTTCTGTGGTTTAAATCCATTAAATATGGCAACCTTAATCTGAATGAGTCCTAAAACACATATCGCTTGAAATTCTGGATTCAGCCCCAATACTAACTTGAAAACAAACAGAAATAACCAAGCATATTTACCCTGTGCTGGGACAGTACAGGAGGAACAAACTAGATCTCGTGCCAGGTTTCAATACCAGGATAACAAAGGGACATAAGTCCTTTTTTTCAATGACCAGGGAGTGACTGATACAGGATCAGTGTCTCTGGAATCAGACAGACTTCAGTTATAAACTACTTCTGGCATATACACAGTTCTATATTTTTGCATAAGTTACAAAATGTTCTTTGCCTCATATTCCATCACAAGATTATTGTGGGCATTCCATGATATACTACAAGAAATACTTTATCAGGTCCAAAAACTATATGTCTTTAAAAATATTGTCTCCTTCCACCTTTTGAACATTAAACTACTCAAAGCCAGAGAGAAAGTAAAGCATTAGCCTTATATGAGACCAACCAAAGTTGATCACCAGCACCCCAAATGTTTCCCTGAGTCCTGCAGGACAGATTACTGAGTCAAGAGCCTTGAGAATCACTGGGTATAGCAAAAACAAAAAGCAATCAATCTAACAAATAAAATTTTAAAGTAGGAGATAAGACTTACAGTTTTTGATGCGGTCTAATTCTTCTTGTAAAGCTTCTTTTTCAGAAATCACTAATCCACAATCAAAATCTAGAAAATTGAAACAAGTGAGATATAATTATTGAGAAGTTTCAGTACTATAAGAAGTTGGATAATCTTTATCATCACAAAAAGCAGGGAGGGGCATGCTTTACAACTTGGTGTATTGTATATTCAAGAACAATGATAAATACTGATAATCAGAAAGAAGGTAAAGATAATAGAACACACACATATTCTATTATTACCTAGCATGATAGCACTTCAAAAAACAAACTCTTTAGTATTCCTTTCCTTAACTAAATAATGCTATTGTGAATAAAATGAAATCTAGGGTAATTATTATAAGTTGGTGAATACAGACTGAAAAGATCATATAAGGATTTGAGGAAGATTTTGCTTTTTTTGGTTTATTTGTTAAACTTTTGTCTTTGTTTTTTGTATGTTTGTTCTGTTAATCAGTAAGCCAAAATTGCTATGAGTTTACTGTTCTCCAAGAGAGGAGAACATGAGGCAGATCATATGTAAGACGTTACCAAATGGGCCTCAATGCAAGTGCTACTTCTCTCATTAACAAAAAGAATCCAGGGGTGGAGAGATAGTGTAGCAGGTAGGGTACTTGCCTTGCTTGTGACTGACCCAGGTACAATGCCCAGCACACTGTATGGTCCTTTGAGCCCTCCAGGATTGATTCCTGAGCTCAGAAATGTCCTATTAGTGCTAGAGTACATACAAATAACTCTTTCAGACCACTGTCTTATCAGTCACCCTAAAAATGCTGACTTGATTCTCTTTCAGATGAAATAGTTCACTGGGCTCAAAGGTAAATAGTGGAAGGCATCCTAAAGTACCAACTAATATTAGATCAAATTTAATATAGTGAATGTAACATAAGACTGCTTGGGATGGCATTAAGAGCAATACAATTTGCATCATAAGAAGTAGCCAAGGAGGCTTCCAAGCTGACTACAGAGTTAGAAACCCAGGTGCAGGAAGCGCAAATAGTTCTAATCAAAATAAACCCAAACCCAAGCGCCGCAAGACACAGTATAATTACAATGGAAAACGAAGGACGAAGAAATAATCCTGTAAGCAGCAGGAATAAAGCAAACACTCACATACACGAGAGCACTCCTAAGACTCGGTGAATTTCTCAGTAGAAACTCTCCACATCAGAAGTGAGTGGCATGATATAGACATATACAAAGTACTGAATCTCAAGGCCGACCTCGGCTGCCACAACGAAGGAAGACAAAAATGATTGTCTCTACTTTCAATGCACGTACGCTAGCATCAGATGCATCCATTGAGGACCTGATGGTACAAGCGCGAATGATCAAGTACGACATCATTGGTCTGACCGAGACAAGAAGGCACGAATCTCACCATGCCGTTTTCGACACTGGAGAAGAATTGTTCCTCGGAACATGCGATAAAAGAGGTGTTGGAGGCGTCAGTGTCCTTGTCAACACAAACTTGGCCAAGAGCATTGATTCATTCGAATGCCTAACAACTCGAATCGGACATTTACATTTGAATAGAAGTGGCTCACTGCCTGCAGTTTCTATCTTCGTAGTCTACGCACCAACATCTCATTATGATGAAAGAGAAATCGAGAAGTTCTACATGGAGCTAGAGAAGTTCTATAAAGAAGACCACACCTTCTACAAAATCATTGTGGGTGATTTTAATGCCAAGATAGGACCGAGAAGATCAGCTGAAGAACTTCACATCGGGACCCATGGCCTAGAATGGAACGAACAGGGTGAGAGACTGTCTGAGTTCATCATGTCGACCAAGACCATTCATGGTAACTCACAGTTCCAGAAGGCAGAATCTAAACGATGGACATGGGAGTCTCCTGGTGGACGATTCCACAACGAAATAGACCACATCATATTCAATCGACGGTTTTGCCTGACTGATGTTGCTGTTGTCCCAAAATTTCGAACGGGATCGGACCACCGTCTCCTTCGTGCAAAATTCTACTTCACAGAGCGGGGAGAAAGGGCTGCAAAGTTCAAAAAGAGAACTCCCAGAATGACCACCAACTGGGAACTCTTTGGTACTATTGCGGCAACATGGGAAGATGCCATTGTTGACAACATTGACGAGGAATATGATCGACTGGTTCAGCACCTCCATGAATGTGCGAGGAACGCCAAGAGAGAGATAGCCACAAAAAATCGCCTATCTTCGAAAACTCTTGAGCTAATTCGCCAGCGTGGTTTGGCGCATGCCTCAGGCAACCGCAAGCTAACGTCCGAGCTCGCAAAGCAGTGCAGAGATGCGATCAAGGAAGACCTCAAAGAGAGAAGAGCAGAAGTACTGGTAGATGCGGCAGAAGCCGGGAAAAGTATTCGTAACGCCCGCCTGTCCTTCGCCAACTATAAGACCAAGATGACTGCCCTCCGACGTCCTGATGGATCCATCACATCCTCCAGAACGGCAATGGAAAAGATTATCTATGACTTCTACTCAAATCTCTTCGATAGCCATGTCCACTTGCCGACATACCAAATTCCACAGGATGGATATGTCGTTCCCAACGTTCTCCCTTCCGAAATCCAACACGCCATTTCGTCGGTAAAGAAAAAAAACAGCACCCGGCCCAGACAAGGTCAGACCTGAACACCTGAAGAACCTGCCGTCAGTACTCATCAATACACTGGCTCGGCTCTTCACTCGCTACCTGTCTGAATGCAAGGTTCCGTCCCAATGGAAAACCAGCAGGACCGTACTACTGTTCAAGAAGGGAGACATCCATGACATTGGCAACTATCGCCCGATCTGCCTATTGTCTGTCATCTACAAGTTGTTCACTCGAGTCATCCTAAATAGGATTGGCAGAACACTAGATGAAGGACAACCATGCGAGCAAGCCAGGTTCCGCAAAGGATTCAGCACCATCGACCATATCCACACGATAACCAAGCTTATTGAGGTTTCTCGGGAGTTCAAGATGCCGCTCTGTTTAACGTTCATTGATTTAAAGAAGGCCTTTGATTCTGTTGAGACAGAAGCGGTCATTGAAGCCCTAGCCAATCAGGGCATTCAAGCCCAATACATCAGGATCCTCCGTGAGCTCTATTGTGGATTCACTACCAGGATCTCACCATTCTACAAAGAAGTGATCGTTGATGTCAAGAGAGGGGTGCGGCAGGGTGATACCATTTCACCGAAACTCTTCAGTGCCACCCTCGAGAACATCATGCGACGACTGGAATGGGAAGGAATGGGAGTGAAGATAGATGGTCGGCAACTACACCACCTCCGCTTTGCTGATGACATTGTTTTCATAACACCAAACATCAGCCAAGCGGCACAAATGCTGGCCGACTTTGACCGTGAGTGTGGAAAGGTAGGACTACAGCTGAATCTCACGAAGACAATGTTTATGAGAAACAGCCTTGTTCCTGACGCCCCATTCGCTCTCAATGGAATGACCATCTCCGAATGCAACAGCTATGTCTACCTAGGTCGAGAGGTCAACATGACAAATGATCTGGCACCCGAGCTGCGCAGGAGGAAGAGAGCAGCTTGGAACGCCTTCAAGAACGTCGAAGAAATAGCTAAGAGGACGAGGAACCTCCGGCTCCGGGCACATCTCTTTGATTCCACTGTTCTTCCTGCATTAACATATGCCTCAGAGACCTGGGCCCTACGCAAACAGGATGAGAATGCTATTCAGGTCTCCCAAAGAAGAATAGAAAGAGCTATGCTTGGAATATCACGTTTCACTCAAATGAGAGAACGAATCCGGAGTTCTGACATCCGTCGACGATCAAGGATCAGGGACGCTGTCTCATTTGCCAAGGTGTCGAAAATCAGATGGGCTGGTCACGTAATGAGATTTAAAGACGACCGTTGGACTAGAGCTGTTACTGACTGGATTCCACGGGATGTCAAAAGACCGCGTGGCCGCCCACCTACCAGATGGTCAGACTTCTTCGTCAAGATCATGAACGATCGGTTTGAGGCCCTTCATGTTCCTGGAGCGAAGAGATGCCATTGGGCTGCACTAGCACGGGACAGGGACAAATGGAGACGTTACTGGCGCCCGCTCGAGCAAATCGACGACTAACGGGAAGTTAAGTGATTAAGTGATTTAAGTGAATGGAAAAGATCTCCAAGCAAAAATATTCTATTCACCTTGGTTATCACTCAACTATGGGGGAGAAATATACAAGTCTTTTGACAAATATCAGTTAAAAGAATGGACTAACATGTCTGCCCAAGAAATATACTTAAGTGGCTGGAGTGATAGTACAGTGGGTAGGGCATTTGCCTTGCACGCTGCCCGACCCGGGTTTGATCCTCAGCATCCCATATGGTCCCCTGAGCATGGCCAGGTGAAGTGCATGAACCAGGAGTGACCCCTAAGCATCGCCGGGTGTGACCCAAAAGGCAAAAAAAAAAAAAAAAAAAAAAAGAAATATATTTAAGAGACTATAAAAGGAAAAAGAAACTATTTTTGGAAGTCATAAAATAACAACAACAACAACAACACAATAAAAGTGTGATAAAAATAATCATAATTGATATTTTCCTAAATCCCTGTTATCTCCTGACATTTAAGTTCAGAGAAAAGTTAGTCTCTAATATTTCTATTTTTTAAAACTTATATTTGGTAAGAGACATTAAGACAGTTGTGGAGTAGCAGAGAGTTGAGGCAATTCAATGATAGAAAGTACAATAATTTTGTACTCTGTTACCACAAACTTTAACACTATAAATTCTCAGACTAAAATAATAAAAAATAAATAAAATAAATCTTAAGCCTTTTACATTTTCTTGATTTTTAAATTGTTTTGGTTTGGGGGCTAACCCAGTGATATTCAGGTGTCATTTCTGGCTTTGTGCTAAGGAATCACTCCTAGTGGGCTCAAGGGATCGTATGGGATGCCCATAGCTGGACCCTGGATAGTCAAGTGCAAGGCAAGCACCCTTTGTGCTGTGATACTTTTTCTGCCCCTTAAGTCTCTTTAGGGCTATATGTTCATTTTTAGCATATGTTCCATCCTTTCTTTTATAATGTATGTGATATTATTTTCTCACTTCAACATCTGGCTCAAATAAAGGTTATAGACTTAAGGTTGCATAGGTTGTATAGACTTTCTTTTCTTCTGTGAATGGATCATGTTCAATAATTCTTTTGTTGAATGATTTGGATTGCATCCTAGATATTTTTAAAGAAAGACAAATGCCATGTGATTTTATTTATACAGGGAGGCAAATAGCAAAAATAAAACAAACTTATAGATATAAGGACCGGTGGTTGATTGCAATAAAGCGGGAACGGGAAGAGGCTGATACAGATGAAAGTGGCAAAAGTGTACAAACTTCAAGTTATAAAATAAATGAGTCATGGTATATAATGTGCAGCGTGGTGAGTATAGCTGAGAATACTGTTTTGTATATTTGAATTTTGCTTATAGAGTAGAGCTAAAATGTTCTTTTCTAAGAAACAAACTAGGAATTGTAATAACTAGATTTATAGTGACAATAATTTTGTAATATATGCAAATAATGATTAAACTTCACACCGAAAATTACAAAAACCATATGTCAATAGAATCTCAATGAAAACAGAAGTGTTTATAAAAAGGAAATGAGAAATGACATCTACTTTCACACTCCTTCAGTATGGCCTCGTCTTGGAAAGTGTTTATTTCTTTACTTGGGGGCCATACCCAGCGTTGCTCAGGAACCATGACTAATCTATGTTTAGGAATCATTCACATATGGTTGAGTTTTGGAACCATGTGTGGCACCTGGGATTTGAAATGGGGTTGACAATATGTAAGGCAAGTAACTTAACCCCTGTACTATGTCTCTGACCCCTTGGTTTAAAAATTTTAACCAACAGAATTTGGTTGATGTAGTAAAGCCAACCCTTCAGGGAGTCTTAAAATTTGTGCTTTTTCTAAACTTGGGGATCCTGAAATCACCTCTAAGTGACTAAACCTGGTCTTATCATTGGATGTTGAGAGATCCATGGTTTAATTCCCGTTAACACTGCAACTGACAACCAAACAACAGTTAGATACATAACTGGGACGATTGGCCCTGAGGTGACCACAGGAAAATGGTAAAGGTAAGGTAAAGGCCCTCCCATTGATCGTCAATTTTGCTCGAGCGGGCCCAGTAATGTCTCCATTGGAGACTCTGTTGTTACTGTGTTTGGAATATCGAATACTCTCGGTAGCTTGCCAGGAAAATGAGTCCAGCAAAAAATACAAGAGAAATTACTTGACTTATCCATGGAACTAGACTTTCAATAACCAACTCTGGTGTATTTATGTAGACTTCATGCAGTGAAAAATGACTGACCATGCTGACTGTGATGATAAGAACCAATTCTTAGATGCAACCTCCTAAATTATTTCATCTGGTAGAGAGTCTGGGGCCAGCATTTCAGGGGCGACAGATAAGAGAATGGTCTCAAAGAGTTCTTCGTATGTACTCTAGCACTAACTAAAGTGATCTGAACCTAAGCAACTTAGTGAGTGTTGACTGAGCTGGAGAAGCAAAGAGAATTGGCGATCTTCCTGGGAGGCAGCAAGGAGAGAAGAATCTCTCACCCAGCACTCAAAGTCCCAGAACCCTGTGTGCCCTCAGTGTAGATCTTATTGAGTTAGGCTCTTTACCTGCACACTTTCCAGGATCTCCTTTTTGGCCTACTCGTCCTGGTAACCCAGAGATCCCTGGTGTTCCTGGAGGCCCCATCTTTCCAGGAGGGCCCTGCAAGCCCCTGAGTCCTTCACCTGTTGGAAAACAAAGGAGACATGACTCACGTCTATTCTTGCTCATCCTGGCACGTCACTTTCCAGAAGCAAAGAGAAATTAAGCAGGACCAGTCTTTCTAAACCTCTTTTTCGAATGACAAGTTGCCTTGAAGAGTAACTCTCTGAGCAAACAAGTCAACTATGCACCACCAGCTCCTACGGAAGTCAGGGATGCCAAAAGAACAGATTTATAACTTTGTTTTGAATTATAACCTAAATAAATACGGTTATCTAGTTAGGACAAGACCCTGAACGAAGGATTTGATGCTTTTCATGTTCCTGGAGTGAGCAGATGCTATTGAGCTACACTAGCACATAACAGGGATGAATGGAGGCTTCAATGCCCGCTCCAGCAACTCGACGAAAAACGAGATGACAAGTGATACAAGTGATACGAGTGGCAGGGTGGGGTGGGGGGATGGGGGTGGGAGGGATACTGGAACCCGTGGTGGTGGGAAATGGGCACTGGTGGAGGGATGGGTATTTGATCATTGTATAATTGAAACCCAAGCACAAAATTTGTAAGTCTACAACTGTACCTCATGGTGTCTCAGTAATAGAAATTAAAAAAAAGATATATGTCAGTAATCTTTTATCATTGCTCCCAAAGTGAACATAATTAAATTTATAGGAGCGTCTATACATCCATTAATAAAATTTGAATTAAATAAAAAAATGATACGAGTGATCCAGATAGGACATGACTCTTCCTCTATCTCGAGGTCATTTCTTCTGGAAAATAAGGAACTAGAAAGATAGAAAAGTCCCAACTGTACCTGGTTCTCCCTTTTCTCCCTTAGCACCGTCACGCCCATCTTTGCCAGGGAAGCCGTTGGCGCCTGGAGAACCACAGACCATGACAGGACAAGTGTCTGGGACCTTCTTGGGGCCTTCAACTTCAGAGCAGGACACAGCCACCATATTCAGGAGAAGGAGAGGGAGAAGTGGAAACGGCATCATGGTCCTCGCCTATTGTGGGGACAGTCAAGGAAGATTATTTCATTGTGTTCAGTTAATTAACACGTACCATCAAATATGCCTTCTGTCTATAAAGTGTACTGCTGATGGTAGAGTACTGGCAGTTAGTAGGGTCCTGACATTCAGACCGACATTTGGAAAGGTAAATCTTGCCTGTAACATTGTATGAATATAGTACTTTAACAAAGGTAAACACAACCACATAACGTAGGAGAACTTGGGATGGAGCTCCACTGTCCAGATATCTGGAAAACTTTCAGTGTTTTCTGTATGCATAAAAGCAAAGGGGGCTCTCATTGACAGCTGTTGGCTCAGGTGGGAGTCTGCAGGAACATCTTTCTCCACCTCTGCCTGTCATACTCACCTGTCAACTGACTCCCACGCTCTATGAGCCATAAACCAGTAGCTCTCCAGGGCCACATAGCCAACATTTACTCATTGGCAGTCACTAAACTGTGGTTTGTAATCTACAGAGAGTCACCACTGTCACAAGCACAGCCTGGAATTACTGTGAGTTTGCTTCCTCTTGGTATTTCATTTTCCTTTGTAATAGGAACTTGCTAAAGGAAGCATTTCCTTTGAATTGCTCCTACTACCTTGGCAGAGTGCAAGATCACTCTTTCCTTCCTGGTAAGAATTCTGTGTTCTGTGAGTTAAAGCTACTAGCAACTAAACCATCTTCTTCATCTCATCTGTCTATAAAAGCTCTTCTTCGATGGCCCCTCTTCAGAAATTGTCAGTCAAATACAGTGGAAGGCCTGGCCTTCGGAGTTAGTGGCCTGGCCTTTATGGTCTCATCTTCAAATGGTTACTGTATTTGACTGAATCATTGTCATATCGTTTCTTTTTTTTTTTTTTCGGCCCCTAAACTGGTTTATAGATATTCACATATAAATCATAGAGATTTTAGTAAAAAAAATAATTTTTAGGTAATACTGGCACAGTTTTAATGTAAAAAAAATGCACATACCAGGTGCATGATCTCTTTTGGGGGGCCCACCAACATCTCAAGCTAATATGCATAACTCCTTTCTTTTAATAAATAAAAGGTGCCAGTAGTGGTCTCTTTTCTAGAGAAGTCTGCATTCTTTCAATGCATATTTCTTTCCCTCTCATATTTCCCTGTCACTGTCACTGTATCACTGTCCTCCCATTGTTGCTTGAGCGGGTCCAGTAACGTCTCCATTGGAGACTTTTGTTGTTACTGTGTTTGGCATATAGAATACGTGATGGGGAGCTTGCCAGGCTCTGCGGGCGAGATACTCTCTGTAGCTTGCCGGGCTTTCTGAGAGGGGCGGAGGAATCGAACTCGTGTCAGCCATGTTGACTGCGTGCAATGCAAACACCCTAACACTGTGCTATCGCTCCAGCCCATATTTCCCTAAATAAAATCATTTTAGTTTTTTTTTAAAATAAAATAAAACTTCACATCATGCTCACCCCTCAAAACAACTATAGGGATTATGCAGTAAATATTGTACACCCCAGAAAGTCCCAGACTTGCAGCACAAGTAGAGATAAAGCTTATGCTGCTGACTGTCTACTTAACTGTCCCCAAGAAATCTTCTCTTCTCCTCCAAGTTACATCCCGAGGCATTTGTTCAGCAACCACAGATCTATAAATGTGAAGTGACTTACTGGAGTTTTTGCAGTGAAAGGAGCCATAAGGAAGCAGGCCCTCTGGTAGATGACTGAGGGTGAGGGAGGAGGTTGAATGTGGCCACCCAAAGCCCAGTGAGCCCTGTGGACAGGGAGAGCAGATTCCTGGCCTTTAAACCCAGATTAATGAACAACTTTTAGACCTGCACTAAACACTTTTAGGCATATTTCCCAGGGATTTCTCGGTGAGTGTTTGGAAGCTTTGTGATGAAAGGTTGCATAATTTTCCCTTCAATTACCTATTTGGACAGTTATCATGTTGAATCACCATCAACTGGTTTATATGGGTTGTCACATTAAAAAAGTACATTTTTTTTTTTGCTTTTTGGGTCACAGCCAGCATTGCACAGGGGTTAATCCTGGCTCATGCACTCAGGAATTACTCCTGGTGATGCTCAGGGCACCATATGGGATCCTGGGAATCGAACCTGGGTCGCATGCAAGGCAAACTCCCTGCCCGTTGTGCTATTGCTCTAACTCCAAAGTACTACTTTTAATAGAAAGAAAAGAATATTGCAATGAATACTTTCAGATGCTTTTTGCATGTACATCCTGCCTTTTTGTGATTCATTTGACTTAGAAACTATTTGGTTCAGCATTTGTATAAATTTTCTTCACTACTAAGGCTGAGATATATTTCATTTTATGTACATTCCACGTTTAAAAGTTTCATTTTTTTTAGAAAAACAAACAAGTAAAGTCCACTAGAGATAACTGGTTGAATTATCCTTCGATAAGCGGATGAATAAAAAACAGAAGTTGGTTTACATAATGCAAAACTTATATAAGAAAAAGAAACAGGTCATTAGTTCATTCAATAATTGGGTGAATCTCTTGGGTAATATATTGAGTTAAATAAACACAATGTTTTATATATTGTATGTTTTTTTATGGAAAATTATTGAGTTGAAAAAATCTCAGGAATGGAAAATAGATGAGAGCTTGGTGGGAATAATGACAGAAGGTGTAACATGTTCAAATATTAATGATGGATTGTATGGAACCAATCTGTGTTTTGATTGTGGTAGTTACACAAACCTATGATTCTGATACAATTTATACAACAAATTTTTATAAAAGAGAACAGACAAATAGTGAGTAGATCCAAATTACACCACATGCCATCATAGAATCCTGATGTAAATTTCCTGTCAATTTAATAGGGGCCACCGCTGTGCTGTATGGATACCAAGGAGTGGCAGGGATCGAACTCAGGAAGTGTTGTCCAACCCCTTCACATCCCAGGTCCACGTTCTAGGTTTTGACATTTTTATATAATATATTAGGTACTATAATGGGTGAATAATTGTGTAAATGACTGAGGAAGCATTGCTTTACCTTTGCCCTCCCCCATTTATACATGATTTTAAAGAAAAAAACACATTTCTAAAAAGAATTTACAGAAGTACTCTCAAGGAGGTTGTGTCTTTTCCAAAGACTACCCTTTCTTCCTCTAGAACTTTATCCAACATTTGCATTGTGGCTACTTCTGTGATAGCTTAGCGTTAAGAAATGAATGCTAGAAACCCACACTGGGTGCTCCAGAGGGGGGCTGGTGACAGGCCTCCCAGCCCCAAGGGATCCAGCCCAGGCAGCCAAAAGCCCCACAACTCAAGCGCCACCATGCTCAAGCCTGCTCTCCACACACTCAGGCTGAGCCTCATTCATGAGTGAATGCTGAGACACACCATAAGACATTCCCAACCCATTATCCAAGAGTACCACACCACATCTGATGGGGTTCAAGTAGTAGGCAACCAATCATAGAGAGAAATATATATATATGCATATATACATATTTTCAGATATACATACAAAAGCTCCCATCTCTCAACCTTTAACAACGTGTTAGTGATATCCTAAAGAATGTCTTAATGGCCCCTGCCAAAATAAAACAATCTTCACACTTTTTCCTTTATGGATACTTTTTTGGTAGTATTTTCAGCAGCATTTCATAATAGACAATACAAAATATATTATTTAGTTTGTGCTTTGGGACAGGGCTTGGGGCTTGGCATGGAAACATCTAAAATATGGTGATGGGAAGGCGTAATGGTGGTGGAATTGGTGTTTGAATATTAAAGGTAATCAAATATTGTGAACTACCTTATCAAATGAAAAATTTTAAAAATGCTAGGAACACACTTCTATGACTACTTACCCTAATTTGGCTTATAGTGTGAGTTTCAAGCTCTGAGACATGAGGTATGAGACGGTTAACAACAGAACGTCCAAATTTATTTCCCAGTTGCTCTCAGAGGACTTTCTTTTCTTTACAGCGGTGGTGGGACACTGGCAGAGGGCAGTTCTCGGGGATTACTCCATGTTCAACACTCAGGTATTTCTACAAACATACTTGGGAGACCATATGAGGTGACAGATATCAAACCCCAGAGTGGCTGCTTGCAAAGTTATCACCCTACATGCTGTACCATCTCTCCGGCCCTGAGGACTTTCAGTAGCGTAGAACTAACAATTATCAAATACTTCAAGCTAGTTCTGCTTAGAGGTGAAGGGAAAGAGATGGAAGGGCACAGAACTGGAGGTAAAGACGTAGACATAATTGCTGTCATCTCAGTGACAGCCAATTGTAGCCCTCAGGGGTGATGGGATCTGTATGAGAGCTATGAGTACATTTAAGGAACTTCTGTAAAGCTTACGCTGACAGAGCTGGGGATTTCTCGGATGTAAAACGGTAAGTCAGAAGAGCAAAATGAGGAATTTGTGTGGATGGACAGTCTCTGATTTGACTCTCTGAATGGATGCCAATCACCTGGAACAGAAAACGAAGGCAATGGACTCTGCCTGCCAGAGCTTGAAAAATTGACCTCCTTTTGGTACATTTGTTCTGAGCTTCAGATCCTTTCCAGTACCGTCTAGAGTCTGGAGCCTTTGACAGGCATATATTCTGTGGGTAAATAGCTTGAATCAGGAATGAGTGCATAAAAAGGACAACATAGAGGGGATGATGGGACGAAAGTCTTAAGGAACACGATTCACTCGTTTCTGAGCAACACTTAATAGCACCGGTACCACGCGTGGTATTGACACATGGTGGGAGAGTCAGATTCAGGCTGCAGAGCCCCATGGTGGTGGTATTTCAGCTTCCAACACCAGCAGGAATGTGTGCGTTGCCTTGCCAGGTCTTTTGTTCAATTGAACTGTCCTACTGAGAAGCTGATTTCCATTAGTGTCTGGGAAGTGTCCAGGGTGCTACAGAACCACATGCCTAAAGGAAAATGAAAAAAAAAAAAAACAGGAGATCCAGGAGCCAAAAACCTAGAAGAATGAATCTGTGTTCATCTCAGTCATGAAATTTGCTTATAAGGGGATAGACATGGAGAGTATCATGCTAAGTAAAACGAGTCAGAAAGAGGGGGACAAACATAGAAGGACTGCACTCATTTGTGGAGTATAGAATAACATAACATGAGGCTGACACCCAATACAGTAGACACAGGGGCCAGGAGTATTGCCCCATAGCTGGAAGCCTGCCTCATGAGCGGAGGGGAGAAGGCAGCCGGAATAGAGAAGGGATCACTAAGAAAATGATGGCTGGAGGAACCGGTTGGGATGGGAGGTGTGTGCCGAAAGTAGATAATGGGCCCAACATGATGACCTCTCAGTGTCTGTATTGCAAACCATAATGCCCAAAAGTAGAGAGAGATTATGGGGAATATTGTCTGCCATGGAGGCAGGGGGAGGCTGGGAAAGGGGGGTATACCGGGGATATTGGTGGTGGGGAATGTGCACTGGTGGAGGGATGGGTGTTTGATCATTGTGTGAATGTAACCCAAACATGAAAGCTTGTAACTTCCTCACGGTGATTCATTAAAATAAAAAAAGAAAAAGAAAAGAAACTGTGTTCATCTCTTGTATCTATTATTTAGCATCCAGGCTTCCCTGCTTCCCCTGGCTCCTATTTTGAAGTGACAGGACCAAGAATAGGGAAGTGGACTCCAGATCACACTGGAGGTGAAAGCTTTGGTCACAGGGCTTGTTTTTTATTGAACGTTTGGTCCCAAAGGTCAGGAAGTGACCTGCCAGACCTTGATACCTCCTGGTACTGGCCTGAGTGGATTGGGCCTCTGAGCGGCAAGGCAGTCCCACAGCTGAGCCAGGACTCCAGATACGGGCCAGTTACAGGTCCCTCTGTGCACTTCACAGTCTCCAGCAGACTTTCTGACACCTGAGAAACACGACCCCACTTGCGTCTGCTCCTGATGATCCTCCTTTTGGCACATTTGTTCTGAGCTTCAGGCCCTTTCCAGTACTGTCTAGAGTTTGGAGCCTTTGGCAGGCAAATGCTTGTCTTCAACAGGCTGCAGAGAGGGATGTTCAGTGACCAGAAGTAGGGCTTTACTCTCCCCGTCCCCATTCATGCTCACCTCTTTCCTCTAGCCTGGGACTGAGCCTCAGCTTTGCCTGGCCAGCCTGTGTGACCTTGGCCCAGGTCTATCTCTGCAAATGCTCAATTTTCTCATCTGTGAACCAGATGAGAAACTGAAGACACCACTTCTTGGTGGTGTCTTGTGCGCTGCACTCTCTTCCTCTTTTTAGATAGTTGCTGGTTTATTATTGTTCCTTATTAAATCTGTGCACATATGGAAGTATTTGTTTTTAAAAAGATTTTTTAAAAAAGTCATGATTTAGAAAGTCACCGATAGTTCCATTATAGGCGTGCGATAATTGGACTCCATCCTTCCACCAAAGTCAACCTCCCTGCACCAGTGGTCTTAGATTCCCTCCCCACCCCCACCTGTCATCTTGGCAGGCACATTGCAAAGTTCCAATGGCTGCTGCTTGGATCTCATTTTTTCTGTTCTTTTGATTCTCTGTTTGGGGTGTATAGCTGCACCCCTCTCTCATATCACTGCTCTAACTGAAGTTCTGATGCCTGTTCACCCATTACTTTGTTTCTTCTCCACCCTTCCCGTGACTTGATTTCTTTCCTTCTCTTTCTTCTCTCTAAACACTGGGTTGAGGATGATCTACACATCCCCTGTTTACTGACTGCATCTCCTCATCCAGAAGCCTCCATACCAAGATAAGTAAGATGAAACTGTGTTTGTCTTTCTTCTTCTGGCTTACTTCACT